AGAAAAGATCACGAAGCTCGTCAAAGAAGCCTAGGAAAATCCAAGAAACTCAAAAAGCCAAGGAAGACCAGCAGACCTCAACAGAGAAGTTGAATACACCTAAGCGGTAAGCTAACCTAATTACCCAACCGTTGAACCCAAAAAAAAAAAAAAAAGAAATTGAATAGCATAGGAAGCCAAGCAATAGCATACCGTGACGAAGAAACAAAGCAATACCAACAGTCAATGGAGAGGCCTAACAAACCAGACATTGGTAGAGACGCTCACCAAAGTAGAGCTTAGCAAAGAAGTTGAGTAAAGAGGAGCTCAGTACAGAAGTTTTGTAAAGTAGAGCTCTAAAGAAGCTGGGTAGAGTATACCTCAGCAGAGAAGCTGATAATTGCAGAGCTCAGCAAAAAAGCTGATTCCACAGTCGCTAAAACACCAAGGCAGCGAAGGATTCTGAGGAATCAAGCGACTTAACCTTCACTCAAAAACAAGATTTAAAAAATAAGTTTAAAACTGACTAAGTTTTGAAATTAAGATTTTAGGGGGTCTGGGTTTAAAGAAAACCTCTTGATGAGAAGGGTGTAGATTTAACATGGTAAAAGCCCCAACATGTAGGTAGTGTGACCTTGATCTAGTCATTATGTTTATAACCCCCAGAGAAGACTTACCCTGTCTTCCATGGTTAGGTTTTGGCAAGTTATTATTGATACTAGCAATTGTATTTTTTGACAGGATAAGCTACCATGCATAATGGAAATTCAATAAGAAATCAAGAAGATAAGATTGACTAGTTTCTGACACTAAATTTAAAATAAATTAATTTTTAAGACAAATTATGAACGAGTCAAGTTAGTATCGATTATGAATAAATTGATTTTGACACGATTGATCTATTTCAGTAGTATTGAAAAAAAAAATATCTAATTTTTTCATGTTTGTTTTATGTATGTATGTCATATTAATACTCACAAAAGTGGAGAAAAAATTACGAAGTTTTCAATGGTTGTTTTTTTTTATATTTCAAAACAAATTATTCCACAGTTCGACCAACTCTCATTTCTTTTTTCGTAGCTGACAGCAACATAATTATCTCATGGATGTGGCCAATGGTCTTGCCTTGCTTTTTCTTACTACCATCATCATAATATGACTTTTTCCTTTTTTTTCACCATAGTCTAAGTACACACATGTACTTAACTATGAAAATTTTGCTACATGTGTTGTTTAAATCCACGTTCAAGGCGTCTTATGTTTATTTATAGCCTAAGTTGACTTAGTACGTTCTATGAGTACAAGTACATACGAAGATATTTTTTTTAATACATGGTGTGATGGGATAAACTTAATTGGTATGTTTTTTTGGAACTTGGTTCGCTTGGAAACTCTTATTTAAGTCAATTTCACTATTACATGATATTATATATATACACTACTATTATAAAGAGAGAAGATGGGTTTGGTGTCCACTACTATTATAATCTTCTCCTGTTTGCAAGCATGCACTGTGAAATGTCTATGATTTTTGTCGAATACAAGTACCCATATTAGGTGTATTCCAAGAATTAGTTTGTTAAATGGTACAAGGCACCATCTATAAGGGAAATCTCCTCTAGTTTTCAAGTCTCTCAAAACTGGTGAAGAGAATTTCCTCAGCTTGTTGGCGAGAATGATTCTTTGTTGGATTCGAGAAAATCAAGCAAATGTTCCTCGGGACTGTTGTCAAAATCATTGTTGAGTCCACGGAACTCTATTGTACGTTTATTATTTTTTCCTTGGTTTAACGGTCAGAACTGTTCCGGTTAGCTTATGTGCACCTCTACTAATCCCATTTTTCATTCAATCAAAGGTAGACCATCTATGCAGAAACTAGAATATTCATTAGGGATAAATCCCTCATTATCTGGGTATAAGAAGTTGTCAAAATTCGAACTCAAGACATTAGAGTTTACAACTCATCCATGTTATTACTTAAGTTATCCCTTGGGTTAGAGTTCATGGAACTTAAGGATGAATTATTTAAATTAATAATTAAAACTTTCATATTAAGAGGATTTGAATTCAATTGTAGTTTTTTTTTTAATCCAAATCACTGAAGCTTATATAACAAACTTCGTTATTTGTAAAAGGAGAAAATCTCTCCACCAAAAGAACCATACATAGCAAACTCAATTATTTTATTGCAAGGCAACATTTGTAAAAATGATGCCACCAAACATAACAAACAAAATTAATTATATACTCTTATACAGGTCTAAGAGTAGTGAGATGGTATGTTTATGTTTGTTATTTTTATTCATTGAGTACATTATATCAATTTTTCACACCCTAAGTTATTAATTTCTAGTGGTTCTCCCACTAGAATTGTTTTTGGAGAAGCTCAATCACTTTCCCATCCACTTGAAATGCCTTGGTAAGGACATCAACAGAAATGGGTGGTGTCGAGCCGAAGACAGAATCTGCGATAGTGATGACTCCTGGATTTTGGCTGCTTAGAGCAGCAATAGCCACGGCATTCGTTTTTCCCACATTGAATTGGAAGTGAATGAGACCCACTGGGAACACAAACACATCTCCTTTGCGTAGGACCTTGGTGAAGAGGCGGTTGCCTGGATTCAAATTGGAAGTGACAAAGCCAACATGTAGGGTACCCTCCAAAACAACAAGGATTTCGGTAGCACGAGGGTGGGTATGGGGTGGGTTGAGGCCATTGGGGCCAAAGTCAATACGAGCTAATGAGATACCAAGAGTGTTGAGCCCTGGTATTTGTTCCACGTTTACTGGAGTAACATTCGACCCAACTCGATTTGATGTACTTCTGGGGATGTTGAGACCGAGCATCTTGGGACCAGGAAAGAAGAAATCATCAGCTTTGGCAAGCTTTGGGTTCTTGCAAAACTTCCCATTCACGAACACTGCACTCACATTAATAGGTGTTTTGTCATGTTAGGGTTAGCTAAAATAATGTAGCTCAAACATGCGAAATCCAAATGAAAATAAAAACCAAAGAGAAACCCGGATTGTATAATGGAAAAATAGAACTGTTGGCAAGTGCTTATCTACACAAATGATACGTTTTGAGTATGAGTCTGAAATGAACATTTGCAAAATAAAGATAACATCCACTACTAATTACATTGTTGATAAAAACTTGTAATGTTATTGAGAATAGACATATTGTGATAGTTAAAATCCCAAGCAATGAAAGTTGATTATTGACAACTAGAAGAAGATTATACCTGCATCCTTGGGTTCATCAATCGCAACACAGAAATCCTGCAACGGGCTAGGATCGGAGGCATAGGCAAAGGAAGATGCCAAAGCCACAAGGACAATGGTAAGAAGGAAGTGATTGGTCATTTTTTTTTTTTTATTGGCCTCGCAGTATTCTGTATATATATGAAGCAACTTTTTTTTTCTATGAATGGTTGCTTGAAGAGAAGTATGTAGATTTAACATGGTAAAAGCCCCTATATATAGGTAGTGTGTCATTGATGTAGTCATTATGTTCGTAACCACCAGAGAAGACTTTCCTAGTCTTCCATGGTTAGGTTTTGACAAGTTATTATTGATCCTAGCAGTGGCAGTTTTTGACCGGATAAACAACCAAGCACAATGTAAATTCAATATGAGATTGATTAGTTTTCGATACTAAATTTAAAATAAATTAATATTTAAGAAAAATAATGAACGAGTCAAGTTAGTATCGGATATGAATAAATCGATTTTGACACGATAAATCTATTTAAGTAGTATTGAATAAAAAATTTATCCGACTTTTTTCATTTTTTTTATTTATATATCATATTAATCCTCACAAAAGTGGAGAAAAACTTATGAAGTCATCAATGGTTGGTTTATCCCTATATTTGAAAGCAAATTATTCCACAATTCCACCAACTCTCATTTCTTTTTTCGTAGCTGACATCAACATAATTATCTCATGGATGTGGCCATTCGTCTTGCCTTGCTTTTTCTTACTATCATCATCATAATATGACTTTTTCCTTTTTTTTCACCATAGTCTAAATACATACATGTACATAACTATAAAAACTTTGATACATGTGTTGTTTACATCCACGTTCAGGGCGCCTTATGTTTATCAATAGCTTAAGTTGACTTAGTACGTTCTATGAGTACAAAGTACATACGACGATATTTTTGTTAATACATGGCGTGATGGAATAAAGTTAATTGGTATATTTTTTTGGAACTTGGTTCGCTTGGAAACTATTATTTAGGTCGATTTCACTATTACATGATATTATATATATCAACTACTATTATAAAGGGAGAAGATGGGTTTAGTGTCCACTACTATTATAATCTTCTCCTGTTTGCAAGCAAGCATTGTGAAATGTCTATGATTTTTGTTGAATACAATCAAGTACCCATATTAGGTGTATTCCAAGAATTAGTTGTGGTAATTTCTCAAAACTCGTGAATAATTTCCTTAGCTTGTTGGAGAGAATGATTCTTTGTTGGATTTGAGAAAATCAAGCAAATGTTCCTCAGCATTGGATTTGAATGTTTCACAGGAATCAAAAAAATTCTAAATCAATATCAAGTTAAAATCACTTAGGAAAAAAAGCTAGTAATTTCGTAGTTTTTCATCAAATCTCAGTATGTAATGTAAAACATAGTCAACATATTTGTTAACTGAATTTTTTGTTTTATGTTCTGGCAAGATCGAACATATTTGTCGTTGATTTTTTTTGAATTTTTTTAGAGTGGAATGCCAAAAACCTGATTTGGTATTATAATTTACTATTTAAATATTTTAATAAAACATTAAAGTGGTAAATTAGTCTTTCCAAGCCAATTATAACATACTTTTGGAGGGATTGTATTCAAGAGTACGATGATTTGATCAATATGTAAATTAGTTAGTACATTGGGTCCATCGGATTCAACCAAACACACTCTTAGGGGTGTTTGGTATGGGGGTATGGGGGGCTTGGCAAGATGATGACCCTGGGTTTTGGCTGCTGAAAGCGGTAATAGCCACGGCATTAGATTTGCCCACATTGAATTGGAAGTGAATGAGACCCACCGGATACACAAAGACATCTCCTTTGCGTAGGACCTTGGTGAAGAGGCGGTTGCCAAGATCGGAATTGGAAGTGACAAAGCCAACATGGAGGGGTACCCTCTAGGACAACACGGATTTCGGTAGCACAAGGGTGGCTATGGGGTGCATTGAGGCCATTGGGGTCATAGTCAATACGAACTAATGAGATACCAAGAGTGTTGAGTCCTGGGATTTGTTCAACGTTTACTTGAGTCACATTCAACCCAACTCGATTTGATGTACTTCTGGGAATGTGGAGACCGAGCATCTTGGGACCAGAAAAGTAGAAATCATCAGCTGTGGCAAGCTTTGGATCCTTGCAAAACTTCTCGTTCACGAACACTGCACTCATATTAATAGGTGTTTGGCAAGTTAGGGTTAGCTAACATAATATAACTCGAACAAGGGAAATCCAGATGAAAATAAAACCAAAGAGAAATCCAGATACTATAATGGAAAAGTAAAAATGTTGGCAAGTGCTTATCTACACAAATTATGCGTTATGAGTTCGAGTCCGGGAATCAACTTTTGCTAAATAAAGATAACATCCACTACTACTTACATTGATCGTAAAAACTTGTAATGTCATTGAGAATAAAAATAATGTGATAGTTAAAATCCCAAGCAATGAAAGTTGATTATTGACAGCTAGAAGAAGATTATACCTGCATCCTTGGTTTCATCAATTGCAACACAGAAATCCTGCAACGGGCTAGGATCGGAGGCATGGGCAAAGGAAGATGCCAAAGCCACAAGGATAATGGTTAGAAGGAAGTGATTGGCCATCTTTTTTTCTTTTTTTTTGTTAATTGGCCTCACAGTATTCTTTATATATATGAAGCAACTTGTGTTTTCTATAAATGGTTGCTTGATGAGAGAGGTTTTTCCCAAACCCAGCCTCCTCAAATCTTAATTCCAAAATCTAGTCAGTTTTAAATTTATTTCTCAAATCCAAATTTTTTTCAAAAATATCATTTAAAATGTCGCCTTGAAATGATAAAACTTCATTTGCAATGATGATTTTATGTTGAAATTTTTTTATTGAAAACGTTATTCATAATGACATTTTTAAAAAGCGTCATTTATTATGGCGTTTTTTAACATGAATTTTTAAATGGCATGTAACAGACGCTAAAAAATAAAGGGGTTGGAAACGTCATTTGCAATGACGTTTTCTTCTCCTTTATAAACAATGACGTTTTCTACACCTTTATTTACAATGACATTTTAAAAATGTCTTCTTATTTTTTTACAATGACGTTTTCTTAGCCAAAAGTCTCCAACCACCAACTTGAATAAATTTCATAAAAGCTTTTTTGAATTTCACCTCATGATTCACCAGGCAAAAAAAAATTTAATAAATTTAAAATTTAATTTCCTTTTCATAATAATTTTGAACTTATTTTATAATCAAAAATAAAATTCATAAAAGTATAATTTAATTTCAAATTTTTCAATATAAAAACATATTTGTAAAACAAATATTTAATAAAAAAACTTAAAAACGTGTTTTGAAAGCACACTTTTATATCAAAAATTATGTATTTAACTCGTACTTTACTAAATTGATTAAAAAAAATCTTAATATTATAGTCTTACTTCTCAAGTCATAAAAGCATCCCAATTTAGAGGAGTTTTTCTCCAAATCCAGTCGGCTCTAAAATTTTATTTCTCAAATCCAGTCTTTTTTAAAAACGTTATTTTAAATGACGTTTTTAAAAACGTTTTCTTTTTTAGAAATTTGTTTTATATATGTTAAAAAATTATGTATTGCAATTTTATGTTATAAATTCATCGAGCATTTATAGTTGACCTATAATAGTGTGCAAAACTTCAAAATATAAAAAAAGATACTTATACATTAAAACAAAACAAATTTATTACAGGACACGGTAAGAAATACCAACATTCTTGATTGATTCCTGTCATCCCAACTCGGCTTAATTGCCTAGGATACCTTCCGATCAATTCTTCCCCATGTTCTGCCCTCTGAAGACAAATATCTGATAAATAAAGGAACAACACCTGAAATCCTTAAAGGATCTCCTAAAATTTCTATGGATTCAACCCAACACATCATGGTGATTCATCTACTAATAAAAAGAAGTCTAAAACATTCAATAATCAATTTGACAAATAATTTTGAAGACTCCAGAGCTTCATGAATAAAATATAACAAGAATAACAACTAACAGCCAGTATAACAGTATGAATCGGCTCTTATTACAAAGAACAATCAAACCCAATCATCTATGACACATATCTAACATGCTCCAGGTTTAAAACTTGACGCAATATCTGCAGGCTAGATGCAAGAAGCAACCAGTATGTGAAGTTGTGTATGAAAAAAAATGCATAGAAAGAAGATGCTTAAGTCTCGACAAACAAGTACACACCCATTATCCCTAACAGAATGCCTTAAAGCAGCCCTAGCTTCACCAGGCTTCCTCTCTTTCCTTTTGTCCATCTCTTGGGCCTAACAGAAAAAATGCATACATCATAAGGAAAGGAAGAAGGAAAAAACAGCAAACCAAGCCTAAATTTATCCTAACCTTCCACTTAAACTGATCATCCAACATGCTTCTTTGTGCTTCTGTCTGCTTCCCAACATATTTCCATATGTCATCACCTGAAAAATAATTTTATCAGACAATCCAAGCAGGAAGGATAAACAATAATAACAAGATGCACCCCAATAAAAGCAACGGATGAATATCCCCTTTTTGATACATATATAATGCTCTTCTAATGACTACCCATCCATATTGTTGAGCTTTTTTGAAAAACATAATTTACTAGACAATAAGTTCAACAAAATGAAAGGCTAAGCAAACAAGCGAAAAGTGGCAAATTTCATTTAAATATCTCACTAGATCAGTCTACAATAAGTGTACGACATCACAACTCACCAAGAATCTTATAACCAGTAGCTAGAGTATTTAAAGCAGCCTTCCTAGTTTCACCATCTCGTTCAGCTGTTAGATCGTTGGTGTTCTGGGTAGGTGTTCTAGATCGATTTAGGTCAAAATCGATTTAGTCTGGAATGGAGAATGGACAATGCTCAATCGCTAACTCACTTAGTCTGGAATGGAGAATGGAGAATGCTCCCTGCTCATTCACTGACTTGCTGGATGAACAATGGTTGGAGCTCGTCGGAGATAACCGTCGTTGAATGGGTGGAGCTCGTCAGAGAAAAGGCCGGCTGAGAGTGGTGAGTGGAGGAGTTCGCTCACAATAGTTTGTGGAGGAGGAGAACTCAATGTGCAAATGTTTGAAAATTTTTAACCTAGGCTGCGATTTAAAAATTTTTAAGGGAGGAGATATAATATTCAAATCGTCATTGTAAATGACATTTTACAATGATGTTTTTAACCTTTTTATTTTTTTTTAACATCCGTTAGCTACCGTTTAAAATTCATGTTTTAAAAAAAATTGGATTTGAAAAATAAGTTCAAAACTGACTGAGTTTTGAAATTAAGATTTGAGGGGGGCTAGGTTTGGGGAAAACTTCTTGATGAGAAGTGTGCAGATTTAACAGGGTATGTAATACCCCAAATTTTTGAAATATATATATAACTTAGTTTAGGTCAATTTGTGATATTATTTTTAAAAAAGGGATGTTAGTGTGATTAATAGGTGTTCTCTTGTTGCCCTAGGAGTGTACTGACATATAGATATATATATTCTTTTTTCAATATTTACACATACGTTAGAATAAGATAAAGGAGATGAGAGACTAGGGTTTTGAGTAAAAGAAAAAAGGAAGAGAAAGAAAGAAGGGGATTTAGAGAAGAAGAAAGAAAACTAGAAGATTGATCATCAAGGTTAGTCTATATGCCAAAATTTAATTTTGTATTTAATCATTATATGTACACAAATACAGGGTTGTAGTCTGATATAATATTGCAAGTAATCCATACGGGTAGGTTTATAGGATTAAAATATATGAATTCAAATATAATAGGGTGGTATTTGTGTTAAGAAGATATTGGGAAAGGGGGAAGAAAGAAAAGTATAGACAAGCTTCTGGATACAACATAAAGTTGAAGAAGATAAAGTTTCAAAAATTATGGAAATCTCCCTCTTAGTTGTAAGTAGTTTTATCTTGATTCTTATACTTTTATAAACTCAATTTTTGAATACCATGGAACTTGGTAATTTAAAAAACTGATCCAATATATTTGAAACAAATATGGTTATGTCAAAACAGGCCTCGAGTTTTGAAATTTTTTTGAAATTTTGAAACGACCCCTAAAAGTTTCGATTAAATGTAAAAAAATCAATATTTACTCTAATAAATCAAATTAAGGTTGTATTCTTGGAAAATGGGTCTCTAGAACCTTAAATACTGTTCTGAAAATTTATGGCAGGCCCGAAAACAAAAAATTCGTATTTAAGGAAATTACACTTGGACCCCAAAATTTTCAAAAATTATGATTTTACCCCAAAACTTTAGAAACTTTTTTTCAAACAGTGCAGAATGCTTCCATACGCTGTTACCTCATATTAGAAATGAAATTTATATGTAAAATATATATTTAGTATATATCAATGGGTGATAAGTATAAAAACTAAATATAGAATCGTGAAATCACGAGATTAGGAAAAGGGATTGAATATTTTATATTATTTTGAATTAGATGGTGATTGCATTGAGGTTGGTAAAGAGTGCTTTGAATTGGATTTTAGAAATCAAGGTGAGTAGTTTACTACTTCTTTTGGGAGAATTTTCTATATTCAATGTGTAGGTGCGTGCGTGTGAATTTTTCATATATATGATATATGTGTTGATATTTGGGATTGCAATTAAATGTTTTGAAATTTTGAACTATTATACATGTGAATTGTGGAAAACTTGTGGGATGATTTTACATCATTGTTTTGGTGATGAAAGGGAAAATTTTGTGTGTTGGGATTAAAACTATAGTTTTGAGGTGTGTGTGTGTGTGTGATCATTTTTATGAGACGGTGACTGGGGTTACCAGGTTTAAGTGGTAACTAGCGATTGGGACTGGGGTTATCAGGTCTAAGTGGTAACAAGCGATTGGGCCAATCATCAGACTAGTGATGACAAGAGACTAGACCAGTTACCAGGCTAGTGGTAACAAGAAACGAGATCAGTCATCAAGTTAGTGATGACAAGAGATTGGGTCAATTATCATGCTAGTGGTAACAAGAGACTAAGTCAATTATCAAGTTCGTGGTAACAAACATGATTTGACAAATGTGTTTGAAATTGATTACGTGTGAGTGTTTTGAGTTATAATTGTCTTTTTATTTATAAAGTTATTTGTGATCATGAAATCATTTTGTTTAAATGATTATATGAGAGGGGTTGAGGTACAATTTGTTGTACTTATGTATGTATCAAGTTTATTTTTGGTATATAAACTGTGGGAGTTATTTTCATACCTCATTAGAAGTGGTTGCAACTCACAGGCCTTTGTGCTCACCCAAACATTCATTATTTTTCAGGTAAGGATCAGGAGGAGAAGTAAATCCTCGAATAGACAAAGGATTAGAGGAATTGAAGATTTATTTTATCGTAGGTCTTCAAGAATAAATGTCTTTCGTAGTTTTGAAACAAATATTCAATTATTTTCTGAACAATGTTATTTATGCTTAGAGTAGTGAACTTTATAGTTTGATTATTATTTTACATGGGTTTAATAATAATGTTGGTGATGTTAGTTTATTCTTCTGGTATTCATTATGTCGGTAGAATGGATCACTTTATTATTTGTTTTTCGATGTATTTCGCATTTATTATGCACAAGAATGATTAG